CCACCTGATGGCAGGGGACCCTGAACTAGTAGGCCTGTCCCGCGAGCTTGATCAGGCCGTTTCGCGCTGGGATTCGGGGGCGGGTTCTGGCAGTCTTTGCTGGGGATCAGCCGCGTTTCCCGACTGGTTTCCCCCTAGCACCTGATGGCAGGGGACCCTGAACTAGTAGGCCTGTCCCGCTAGCTAGACCAGGCCATTTCGCGCTGTGTTTCGGGGGCGGGATCTCCCCGGCGTGGCTCGAGATCAGGGGCGTTTCCCGGGTGGTTTCCCCCTACCCACCTGATGGCAGGGGACCCTGAACTAGTAGGCCTGTCCTGCGAGCTAGATCAGGCCGTTTTGCGCTGGGATTCGGGGGCGGGATCTGGCCGGCGTGGCTGGGGATCATGGGCGTTTCCCGGCTGGTTTCCCCCTACCCACCTGATGGCAGGGGACCCTGAACTAATAGGTCTGTCCCGCGAGCTAGACCTGGCCGTTTTGCGCTGGGATTCGAGGGCGCGAATCGGGGAGGCGCGACTGGGGATCATGACCGTTTCCCGGCTGATTTCCCCCTACCCACCTGATGGCAGGGGATCCTGAACTTGTAGGCCTGTCCCGCGAGCTAGACCAGGCCGTTTCACGCTTGGTTTCGGGGGCAGTATCTGGCCGGCGTGGCTCGAGATCAGGGGCGTTTCCCGGATTTTTTCCCCCTACCCTCCTGATGACAGGGGACCCTTAACTAGTAGGCCTGTCCCGCGAGCTAGACCAGGCCGTTTCGCGCTGGGATTCGAGGGCGCGAATCGGGGAGGCACGACTGGGGATCAGGAGCGTTTCCCGGCTGGTTTCCCCCTACCCACCTGATGGCAGGGGACCCTGAACTAGTAGGCCTGTCCCGCGAGCTAGATCAGGCAGTTTTGCGCTGGGATTTGGGGGCGGTATCTGGCCGGCGTGGCTGGGGATCAGGGGCGTTTCCCGGCCGGTTTCCCCCTACCCACCTGATTGCAGGGGACCCTGAACTAGTAGGCCTGTCCCGCGAGCTAGACCAGGCCGTTTCACGCTGGGATTCGAGGGCGCGAATCGGGGAGGCGCGACTGGGGATCAGGAGCGTTTCCCGGCTGGTTTCCCCCTACCCACCTGATGGCAGGGTACCCTGAACTAGTAAGCCTGTCCCGCGAGCTAGATCAGGCCGTTTCGCGCTGGGATTCGGGGGCGCGATTTGGCCGGCGTGCCTGGGGATCAGGGGCGTTTTCCGGCTGGTTTCCCCCTACCCACCTGATGACAGGGGACCCTGAACTAGTAGGCCTGTCCCCTGAGCTAGATCAGGCCATTTCTCGCTATGATTCGGGGGCGGAATCTGGCCGGCGTGGCTGCGGATCAGGGGCGTTTCCCGGCTGGTATCCCCCTACTCGCCTGATGGCAGGGGATCCTGAACTAGTAGGCCTGTCCCGAGAGCTAGAACAGGCCGTTTCGCGCTCGGATTCGGGGGCGGGATCTGGCAGGCTTTGCTGGGGATCAGCGGCGTTTCCCGACTGGTTTCCCCCTACCCACCTGATAGCAGGGGACCCTGAAGTAGTAGGCCTGTCCTCGAGCTAGGTCAGGCCATTTTGCGCTGGGATTCGGGTGCGCGATCTGGCCGTCGTGACTGGGGATCAGCGGCGTTTCCCGACTGGTTTCCCCCTAGCACCTGATGGCAGGGGACCCTGAACTAGTAGGCCTGTCCCGCGAGCTAGGTCAGGCCATTTTGCGCTGGGATTCGGGTGCGCGATCTGGCCGTCGTGACTGGGGATCAGGGGCGTTTCCCGGCTGGTTTCCCCCTACCCACCTGATGGCAGGGGACCCTGAACTAATAGGTCTGTCCCGCGAGCTAGACCTGGCCGTTTCGCGCTGGGATTCGAGGGCGCGAATCGGGGAGGCGCGACTGGGGATCATGACCGTTTCCCGGCTGGTTTCCCCCTACCCACCTGATGGCAGGGGATCCTGAACTTGTAGGCCTGTCCCGCGAGCTAGACCAGGCTGTTTCACGCTTGGTTTCGGGGGCAGTATCTGGCCGGCGTGGCTCGAGATCAGGGGCGTTTCCCGGATTTTTTCCCCCTACCCTCCTGATGACAGGGGACCCTTAACTAGTAGGCCTGTCCCGCGAGCTAGACCAGGCCGTTTCGCGCTGGGTTTCGGGGGCGGGATCTGGCCGGCGTGGCTGGGGATCAGGGGCGTTTCCCGGCTTGTTTCCCCCTACCCACCTGATGGCAGGGGACCCTGAACTAGTAGGCCTGTCCCGCGAGCTAGACCAGGCCGTTTCGCGCTGGGATTCGAGGGCGCGAATCGGGGAGGCGCGACTGGGGATCAGGAGCGTTTCCCGGCTGGTTTCCCCCTACCCACCTGATGGCAGGGGACCCTGAACTAGTAGGCCTGTCCCGCGAGCTAGATCAGGCCGTTTCGCGCTGGGATTTGGGGGCGGAATCTGGCCGGCGTGGCTAGGTTTTCGGGGCGTTTCCAGACTGGTTTCCCCCTACCCACCTGAAGGCAGGGGACCCTGAACTAGTAGGCCTGTCCCGCGAGCTAGATCAGGCCGTTTCGCGCTGGGATTCGGGGGCGGGATCTCGCCGGCGTGACTGGAGATCAGGGGCCTTTCCCGGCTGGATTCCCCCTACCCACCTGATGGCAGGGGACCCTGAACTAGTAGGCCTGTCCCGCGAGCTAGACCAGGCCGTTTCGCGCTGGGATTCGGGGGCAGGATTCTGGGCGGCTCGTCGCTGGATCAGGAGCGTTTCCTTGTTCGGCTCCCACTACCCACCGGCTGGCAGGGAACCCTGAACTAATAGGCATGTTCAGCGAGCTAGGCCAGGCCGTTTCGCGCTGGGATTCGGGTGCGGAATCTGGGCTGCTTGGCTGGGCAACAGGTGCGTTTCCCGCTCGTTTCCCCCTATCGACCTGATGGCAGGGGATCCTGATCTAGTAGGCCTGTCCCGCGAGGTAGACTAGGCCTTTTTTCGCTGGGATTCGGGGGCAGGATCTGGGCGGCTTGGCTGGGCATCAGGTGCGTTTCCTGGCTAGTTTCGCCTATCCACCTGATGGCAGGGGACCCTGAACTAGTAGGCCTGTCCCGCGAGCAAGATCAGGCCGTTTCGCGCTGAGATTCAGAGGGGGGGGGGGGGGGGGTGGCATCTTGGCGTCTTCAGTGGGGATCAGAAGCGTTTTCCAGTTGGACTCACACTGCCCACCCGATGGCTGGGGACCCTGAACTAGTAGGTCTGTCCCGCGAGTTACACCAGGCCGTTTCGCGCTGGGTTTCCGGGGCGGGATCTGGCCTACTTGGCTGGGGATCAGGGACGTTTCCCGGCTGGTTTCCCACTACCCTCCTGATGGCCGGGGACCCTGAACTAGTAGGCCTGTCCCGTGAGCTAGACCAGGCCTTTTCGCGCTGGGATTCGGTGGTGGCATCTTGGCGGCTTTAGTGGGGATCAGGAGCGTTTCCCGGTTGGACTCCCCCTACCCACCCGATGCCAGGGGACCCTTAACTAGTAGGCCTGTCCTGCGAGCTACATCAGGCCGTTTTGCGCTGGGCTTCAGGGTCGGGAATAGGGGAGGTGCAGCTGGGGATCAGGAGCGTTTCCAGGCTGGATTCCCCCTACCTGCCTGATCCCCGGGCCCCTGAACTAGTATGCCTGTCCTGCGAGCTAGACCAGGCCGTTTTGCGCCTAGCTTCGGGGGCGGGAATCGGGTGGCTCGGCTAGGGATCAGGAGCATTTCCAGTCTGGGGTCTGTCTCCCCACCTGGAGGGGAGGGCCCGCTGAACTGGTTGGCCTGTCCAGCGATGTAGACCAGGCCGTTCTGCGCTGGACTTCGGGGGTGGTTATCGGGGCCGCGTGGTTGGGGATCAGGAGCCTTTCCCCTCTGGGCTCCCCCTACGCACCTGGAGGGGAGTGGCCGTTGAACTCATAGGCCTTTCCTGTGAGCTAGACCAGGCTGCTCTGCGCTGGGCTTCAGGGGCGGGAATCTGGGCGGCTTGGCTAGGGATCAGAAGCGTTTCCGGGCTGCGCTCTCCCTACCTACCTGATGGCAGTTTCCCCTGAACTGATAGGCCTGTCCCATGAGCTAGACCAGGCCATTTTGCGCTGGGCTTCGGGTGTGGGAATCGGGGCGGCTCAGCTAGGGATCAGGAGCGTTTCCCGGCTGGGCTCTCTCTCCCCACCTGGAGGGGAGGGGCCGCTGAACTGGTTGGCCTGTCCCGTGAGCTAGATCAGGCCGTTCCGTGCTAGTGTTCAGGGGCGGGAATTAGGGCGGCATGGCTGGGGTTCAGGAGCGTTTCCCAACTGGCCTCCCCCTTCCCACCTGGAGGGTTGGGGCCACTGAACTGCTAGGCCTGTCCCTCGAGCTAGACCAGGCCATTCTGCTCTGGACTTCGGGGGCGGGAATCGTCGCAGCGAGGCTGGGTATCAGGAGCATTTCCCGGCTGGGCTTCCCCTACCCACCTGGAATGGAGGGGCCACTGAACTCGTAGGACTTTCCCGCGAGGTAGACCAGTCCGTCTCCTTGCTGGGCTTCGGCACCGGGAATCGGGACGGCGCGGCTGGGGGTCAGTAGCAGTTCCCGGCTGGGCTCCTGCTACCCTCCTGGAGGGGAGGTGCCGCTGCACTGGTGGGCCAGTCCCCCGAAGCTGTACTGGGCCGTCTCTTCGCTGGGCTTCGGCGGGGGTAATCGGGGCAGCACGGCTCTGGGTCCAATAATTTTCTTTCTATATTTGAAATCATTTAGCAAATTCTAAAGTAGTCCTTAGAGGCTATAAAGATAACAGATGATTCTTTTCTAGTTTTACATTGAATAGGTTCTCAGTGAAGCTATTAAAATTTAATTTGCATCAGAAACATTGTTATGAATATTAAAATGGTATGTGTTTTGAATTGGACCCCCTTTAGATCAAAAATCAAGTTCAAACGACTTTTATCTACTAGTCTTTTATATAGGAATGTATTAGCTTGTAGCATTTTTGACCTGTAATATTCTAATTATTTTTTTGCTTATTGCAGTTTTAATAGAATTACTTGAAAAATTTGTGCTTCATCTTTCGGAAAGCCCGTGTGACTGCTACTTCCCCTCAGTAGAATACACAGGTACATTTTAAACATTTCTACATATAAATAACTTTCCTAGAGATGTGTTATTATATTGTCAATGCACAGAAGTTTTTCCATCCTGAAATTCTGCAACTTGGTATCACTAAAATACAGATCTGTCTTTCATCTTTGTCTGTTTTTTCTTTCATTCCTTTTTTTCTGTCTGCCTATTAAAAATGACCTAAAGCAATATCCTCCAGTCTTCTTTTCCACATATATTTACCCAACATGTATATGGATAACTTTTTGTTTGTTTCTTTTTGGTCCACATTCAGCAGTGCTTAGGGCTTACTCCTGGCTCTTTGCTTAGAGCTCACTTCAGGTTGGCTTGGGGGACTCTATGGGATGCCAGAGATCAAACCCAGGTTGGCCATGTGCAAGGTAAACTCCCTACCCTCTGTACTATCACTCTGAACCTATTGATAACCTTTAAATTCACATCATCTAGTCAGAAATTTAAGCATGATTTTCATATGTCTGACTGATAATAGGTAAACATCACTCACTTGTCTTCTAAGAACACTCAAACTCAGATATCCCACTGGGATGTTATGTTACCTTATGTCGATGCTTACTTCCCTCTAACATTGTCTGTTTGGTGGTCACTATTATACTGTCTGTCACAGACACATAATTGAGGAATTATTGATTCTAAGTTGATATTTACCTTACAGTCACCAAACCTTGTGCTGTTTTCTTTCTTTCCTGGGAGTGAAAGGGTAATTGTTAATTCTTGTGAGGTCCCAAGTAAGCAATGCTTTGCTCAGCCTTGTGGTGCTATATGTATTATCTGGTCCATAACGATGAAGCCAGGTGCTTCACGGTTATGGACCACACCCAGTATGGCAGCTTATAGGCTATACTCTGCAATTGCAGAACTATGTGTGGCTAGAAATGAAATCCAAATACTGCTATACTACCCCATGGCCCCTATATCCCTTTCTGTTTGTTTGTTTTGGGGCCACACCTGTTGTGCTCAGGGCTTTCTTCTGACTCTGTACCCAGAAATTACTCCTGATGGACTTGGGGAACCATACATGGTGCCCGGGATCAAGCTTAGGCCATCTGCATAAAGGCAAGTGTATCACCTGCTGTACTATCTGTCCAGCCCTTCTCCCTCAACTTGTGTTTACAATATAGATAAAATTTATCTACTTATCTCTCTCTACTCTTTGTCATCTTAGGCCACTCTGACTCCTGCCTTTGGTGTCACACCATCTATTTACCTGCCATCTAATCAGAGCCTGATTCCTTTTCAAGGATATTCTTTATAAGGATGCTAAGCAAAGGAGCAAACAAAGTGAAGTAAAACTCCTTAGATTCTGTTAACAGAACTGAGATTAGCAGAAAGGAAAGAGAGGGTGAAAAGGACAGGGAGTGTGTTCAGTTGACAGTGGTAGAAGGTTAAAAAAAACTTTGAGATGGGTATGGTGTGGTATCATACATTTGAAACAGTCTGAACCTGTATACCATATACTGTAAGCCATGTTATTTCAACTTAAAGAATCAATTTTGTAAGTTATTTTTGTGCTGCTTTCAGAGTGACTTTTATGTACAGGTCTGACCAAGTCATTTCTCTGTCCCTTAAAAATTTACGTTTGACTGCAGCATGAATTCTAGAATTCTTACATTATTCTGTCCTTTACTTTTCTAGCATCACCGCTTGTTTGTTTTCTAAGAACACTAATCTACTAGCCACACTTCCAGCCTCCCTCTTCCCTGCCTTTATTTATTCAACAAATAGAAATTATCCTCTACTATGCTCTTTTTCTCAAATAGAGCATTAAAGAGAAAAAGTCTTGCCCTATATACTTTACCTTATTGAGAACACAAACAAAAAGTAAAAGGTTCATTGTATTTAATAGGGTAGCAATAAATGAGAAACATATATTAGGAAAGGGGATGAGGATTGCAATAGTAAATGGTATCCAGACCAACAGAAGTGGAAATAAATATATGAGTAAATTTGGTGTGGGATATTTTCTGAGAGGTGCTTAGAAAATGGACCCCCCCATGGACCCCTCCCAGTGATTCTTGGCTAACCAGGCCAGTGGCTCAGTGTGAGGGCTCCAGGATACAGTGCTACTTGCACCCAGAGATTACCGGGGTCACTCTAGTGGGGTAGAGGGGGCCTCCCCGACCACATTTGGCAGCTCTTGGCGGCCTCTAAGACACCTGGCACAGGTGACCATATGGTAACAGGCATCAAATCAGGGCCATGCAAATCACTTGTCTCTTCATATATGGGTATTTTTAGAGAAGGAGAATTCTGCCAAGTGACCAAGAAAGAGATTGGTGTGTTTGAAAATGCATAAGGGGGAGAATGATTGACATTGAAATAAAAGATGTAATGGTTTTAAAATTTATTTCAGCATCGTAAGTATAGGAATAATATATTTGTGTTATATATATGTATATATGATACAAGTATACATATTATGCATATATATTTGATATATATTTAAAATCACCTTATATACTATACTGACAAAAAACCTAGAGGGAAACAAAGCACTAAAGTGCAGTAATGAGTTAGAGATTACTGAAAAGATCGCCTTGAAAAATGATAAAGACTTGAATCAGAATGTTGGTAGAAAAAGTGAATAGTGCTTGGATTCTGGGTGTTGTCTACTCAAGGGTGAATAACTCATCTATCTTCTTCAGCACAGTAATCTCTGATTTATGTTGTATTCATCACATTGTTCTTTGGCTTGATATTTTCTGTAGATACTCTAACATGAACATTATGTTGAATCAGTATCTAAATACCCTAAGTAGACTTATTGCTCAGTGGTTATGTGTTTACTTCCCTATCTTGTATTTCTAAATTATGCTGAGGGAGATATCAGGTATTGATTTTGTTGAATATATTATTGGGCAGATAAACTGTGACCATGAGTTTAAATTATTCAAAGATTCTAGATGAATAACAATCCACTGAAATTTTAGAATATAGTTGAAAAGAGTGACTTCCTCCTTATAGATTATTTTATTCATTATTATTATATGGTAAGATTGCCGTATACTGGGGGGGATGGGTGTTGGAACACTAAACGACTGAAGCCGAATCATGAACAGCATTGTAAGTGGTCTCACAGTGATTCAATAAAAAGTAAAATAATAAAAATAAAAATAAAATGAAATTGAAGAATGGAAAAAAAGATTGCTGCTGATTTTTTCTTTCTTCATATGGCTTGAGATAGCCTCAGCTTATTTGGTTTTGGCTGGTGGAACAATTGTCTGCTGTTATAACATTTTGTTTTATTTTAAATAAAAACGAACATGTTTTGATGTAAAAGATGCTACAGAGCTAATACTAGATAGATATATTCAATTTTTTTATGTTCCTTGAAATGAGAAATTGATTGTCTTTTTAAAACTGACATATTGCTAAACCCGAAGGTAGATGGAATTAGAATTACACAGTCATCCATCTGTTATTAGCTCCCTCAGGATTTCAACCCATTATAAAATTTGCAAATCTGCGAAAATAAAATTAACTGTTTATCCCTTTAAATTAAAAAAGAAAGAACAAAGATAAGTTTTTGTATATTTTCAGTTTGTAAGTCCATATTGGTATCTTTCCAGATCTGAGCAAACAGTAACATTTTGTTGGCTCAGTTCCCTGTAATGAATTTTTTTTTCATTGTGGTCACTTTTTTAAAGTGATAAATTAAGTAACCCTTTCAAGGCTGATACTCATTTAACTTTATCTATTTTCTCTTTATGTTATTAATGGATTGGAAAATATTAAAACAAAATATTACATTTTCAACTTTGGCTGTTAAAATTCCTTCAATTTAATATAAACGTCTTCTGTACATTCTTTTCAATATTCTACAGATAAGTTCCTTTTATTTATACATACATATAAAAATTTGTATCCCTGTAGCATTGTCCTCCCGCTGCTCATCGATTTGCTCAAGTGGGCACCAGTAACGTCTCCATTGTGAAACTTGTTGTTACTGTTTTTGGCATATCAGATATGACACAGGGAGCTTGCCAGGCTCTGTCATGTGGGCAGGATACTCTCAGTAGCTTGCCAGGCTCTTTGAGAGGGACAGAGGAATCAAACTAGGGTCAGCTGCGCGCAAGGCAAACGCCCTACCTGCTGTGCTATCTCTCCAGCCCATAAAAATATGTATATATAAATAAAATAGTAGTATCATTGCATTCTAAAACTATATAGGTTTCAAGTGTGCATCATTGAAAATTAGCATGTACATTAACTTTTCTTCGATTTGATAACCCACCAATGACTCAACCTTCCTTCTTTTCTGGTCCTGTACTATAAAAGTTTATTTTTAATTCAGTTTATAACGCACTTTTTGATTTCTCTATCTACCATACATGAGGGAAGTCAAAAAGTGTCTTTCTCTATCTGGCTTATTCATTGTAATAGCCTCTGGATCTAGTAATGTTATTATAAGTGGCAGGATTTCATCTTTCTTTTATAACTGAAAAGTATTCTATTGTGTATTTATTTTGTATCTTCTCTGTTTATTCAATAGCCAGTGGACTTTTTTTTTCCAGATTAAGTCATGTGCTAATATTTTTATAATCAAGATTGGTTGCCTTCTACTTCACAATTCATTCAATGTGATGTGCTACTCCTGGTATATCAGTGGTGTATATTATGAGGTGTTGCTCCAGGAATTCTAAAATTTTAAGTAGAGTGTTACAATTGGAGTTAAATGTTTAACTGGATGGTGACTTTGGGTTCTGGAAGCATCTCTGCAACTTGTTAATCTCTTCTGAGATTTATGTGAGTCTCTGGATGATGAGAATATTCAACAGAAACAGTAGTAGTGGGCTGACTTTTGAAGATACTAGGGCATTTTTATTTCCCAGCACTGATAGCAACTGCAGTGAAAAATTCTGCAGACATTGGGAGCATCCTGTGATTCATTGTTGTGGATATTTGGCCAGGCAGATGGACACCAATTTTGTGCAGGCCTGATACCACGATATACTCAAAGTCACAAGTTTCTCAGTTT